ATGGTCCGCAGAAATAGTGAAAATGCTTGCTCGCAGAAAATGCAGTTTCGAATTTCGAGATTTATTTACACGTTTTAAAATTGATTGAAACAAAAACAAATAGACAACTAATGTAATGTTCAAACTGCTTAAAAAACCGTGTCACTAGCCCTCGCAAGAAAATCTAAATTTAATACTGTTAGGTTGGAGGTCTACAGTCATTTCTAGAGATGTAGTAAATATTTAGTTCATCCTCAATAAGCCTCCTGTTAAAATATGTCAATTAAACTACAGCAGAAATAACAAACGACCTAATTAAGACGAAATTAAGGAAAATAATTGAATATGAGTAAACAAACGATTGGCGAACCATTCTGTTAAATAACATAAGCCATTTTATTTTCAAATTTCAGAGAAATTTAGGAATTCTCAGGTAAGTAAAGCAAATAGTTAATGACAATAAAATTCATTATACTTTGAATAAATGGTGAAAAGAGGCATTTTTTCTTTTCTTGCTACTTTAATTTTTGAAAAATATCTCGATTAACAAACCCAAATCAGATTATTTGATGGGCTATTCAATTTCATGGATAAACCAAGAAGAGGATGCAAAAATCAGTACTGCACCCAAAAAATACATTAACATCTGATTTTTAAACATAACCGGTTAATTGAAGAGATGACGAAAACGTAAAATAGGCACCTGATATAGCAGGATTTATGCTTTACCTCTCGGAGTGTGTGATAGACTTACCTTCACATGGTGCACCCTGGGCAACGTATACTAATACGGCAAAAAAAACCGGTAGTTGACTTCTGACTTCAAACTACCATCACCTCACTCTATGCCATATTCGACCACTTCTACAGTACTCACCTCATCTTTTTCTACCTTCGTCTTTGAAACACTCTTCTGTTCCCCCCCCCCCCCTCTCGACTATTTTTTACTATGATGTTCCTTCCCCTCTGTGAAGCCTGATGTCAACTAAAGGTCTAATGATAACCATCAAAACGCCTGCCACTTGATATAAATATATAAAATGCTTTACCTCTCTACACTGACACTACCTTTCATCAATCCAATCTTGTGGAAAAATTGTACGATTTTCGGCACATAAATATTTGGAAAGTACTAATTGTTAACTTCTCCACAGAAAGGAAAATTGATGCCTGATTGACACTCAATTCCATGACCATAAATCAAGTTGATACTTACAGAAAACTAAAGTATAAGTGGAATTTAGAATAAAATTATTTTACAATAAACGGCTCAAAATAACGACTATGTTGCCATGTTAACGCTGTAAATTTGTTCTTCTGTGGTATCAATATCGTTCCAATTTAATTTTTTAATAGCAAGACATTACTCATCAGTTCAACTTGACTACTAAGCCCCATATATATCATGTCATTCATTTTAAAACAGCAATAAGATACCTTCGAAAACAATTTAGGATCACTGACTTCAGTTTAAAATTAAAATTAGAAAAAAATATTCAATAAATTCGTTTAGGAACAATAATGGATTGCTTCAAGTCAGACGACACACACCTAGATGATGCGAATTCTACTGGCGTCAAGTAGTCTCGAACTGAAGAGGACTTAACGTGTTCCTTCAGAAAATTGGGTGAAGATAGAAGTGGCCCAATAGTTATGAGAAAGAATAGATGATATGAAGCTTAGAAGGCCATTTTATTGCTCGCAAGTTAACTATACTTCTCCTATTCAATAACAAATTGATTGACATTCACTACCTTCATGCGATAATTTGAAATAAATACGATTTTGTTTCAATTAGAACCTTTAAGTACCTAACGAATTTATTGATCAAATTACGCTTAATACACAGGTCTTCATAAAATTAACTTAAGTCATTAATTAAATATTTCTCCTGATTACAGTGATTATATAACTGTTTTTTATTATTGTAAGCTAACGATAGACTGTTCTGCTGTTAAATGAAAATTACGTGAAGTAGCATAACGAATAATGTTTTATTACCACGAAACCATTTATCAAATTAAATGAGAAAATAAACTGCTTCTGATTTATTTTATCCATCTTAGGTCATGAAAATCCTACCAATTCTCCTGGAACGTGTGAATTTCTCTCTAAATAAACAGTTATAAACTTCGATTTTCAATATTTAAGAGTTTGTACTATTTGCTGAATCGAAAAATTGGTAATAACTGATGCGTATGCATTCTGTGTTAGAGCCGAAAATTGGTTTTATCCTAATATCGATCAACTTATAATGCGCGTTAGTAATTTTGAGTTACTGGAGCATGTAGCTAATTTCGGGGCGCAAGTCAGTTGGTGTGGAAAAAATACTTCTCATTCGTGAAAATAAACTCAATTTTAAATATTTCAGGGCTGCAATAGAGTCGTGAAAATGAATTTTATTGATTAATTTGCATTCTGACTACGTCAAGAGCCATTTCAAGTGGTGATGAACTCCGTGTAGAGGACAAAGCTAACATGGTGGTGACCGGAACACCTTATGTTCACTTCAACATTCTGGAACGGGTGACGTGCTAGTGATTCCGTAGACCGTGTTTCTGATCGGGTTAAGGAGAATGTTCTGTCGGGAGAGCAGAAACCCATCAGCCAATCAACAACCTATAGTCACAGCATTGTCAGTGTAAGCAAACGGGTATTTCACTGACCAAAATAAAATGTATCCACAACAAACACCCTGCTTCTTCGATATTGCTGAGGTAGCTAATTTCGGGGGCCATTCCATACTAAGGGGTTTTGCCAAAGAGACCGATGATGTTAAATCAAGGCTCAATTATGAAGCAATCCGCTTCAACTTCTTGAATAATGCTTTCGTCTTCAAGTAGAACAAATATTTGTAACACAATGCAAATTAAACTTTTGTTCATTTAAACTAAAATTTTCCGCATTTTCTTGAAAACAGGTATTGTGAAAAACTGGAAAAATCTATAAAGCTTTAACTGAAAGAGTGACTAAAACATTTTCAGCCAAATTCAATAATTTATTTATTTAACAAGTGAGTGGAATCATTTTTCGACAGAGGCTCCGTTTTTTTCTATAAACCTTCGTAATCTATATTTCCACGGGTAAATTCCCTCATGATGGAATTGTGAGGACTGCCTTTGACACCATGAAATGGCATGCTTTTTCGCGTTATCTAAAGACGTAAATCGAGTGCCGCCTTCAAGGTGTTCTTTCAGCCTTGGAAACAAAAGAATCTGAGGGAGCCAGGTCTGGAGTATAAAGACGATGTGGAAGTGCTTCCCCCGCCGTTTTTCGACGAGGGATGTCTTCAACTTCTTCAAAACGCCTTCATAAGAACTGGGGTTCACCGTTTTATGTCCTTCTGCACACTCTCTCAATGTCACTCCATTTGACTCCCACAGTAGTGGCCACGACCTTCTTAACGGAGATTGTAGTTTTGAATTTGGCAGGCCCAGCCAGATGTTCCCTTTGGATGCCACTGTTTGGTTGGTAGTTTTTTGTTTTATGGATCAAATGGGTAGAGATTGGCTCCAGGTTCCATCGCCGGTCTGAGGCCCATTTGCTGCCATCTTTGCCAAAGTTGGTAAAGAGGGTTGAGCTCACTGGATCGGTTGTAGTTGTTGTTGAGCCAGTAACGCTTTTGGAACCCACCGTGTCCGGCGTGCCCCACTGAGGGCTTGCTCAAGCCAAGATTTTCTGTGAGAAGTGAAAATGCTGCTTCGTGTGCGATTCCCACTTCATTGACAATTGCCGCCTCAATGGCAACTCGTGCATCTTGTCGTTGTTGTTGAAAATGTAAGAACTTATAAGTCGTTGCTCCACTTGAAGTTATGGCATTTGTGCGTGTGAGAACTAGTGATTCAGCCTGGCATGAAGTGCGCGCTGGAGTTTTCGGTGTGTACCGCGCGTCGAATTCCGGTAACTCTCAAAATATACCATTGGAAGGGTTGTAAATTATCAACTTTTTTGAGATGAAACTGTTTGAGAACTTTCGACCCACCTTCTTATGTGGGTGGAAACTAATTTAATAACTCAACAGAATGACATAAAAGTCAATTAAATTTTGAAGATTGTTCTGTCACAAAAGTTTCCTATTTATTATTTCATGCAAGAATGGGGTTGTCCTTTCTGAGAAACGAATGGAAATTCAAATAAGAATATCTTTAGCTGCGGTAAATCTTCACTTTGCTCCGGAATGGTTCAAACACAAATTTCATAATGTGAAAAATTATAAGAGTTTTTTTATTAAAAGGGGCTTTTCGAGGTATTAAAAAGTGTTTAGATCTAAGCTCACTTTCAATATAGGTGAATTAGTGAATGATTGACTGAGTACTGGAACTCACTCACGCAATCGGGTTCAAATAACATTTAACTCTTATCATAAAAAAATCGATATCTCTGAGATTTGCAATTCGTTCTAACGGGCACTTAGTGAATACACAATTGCGACTTTTCCAATTCCGATAATTTCTTTTGAAACCTTTTCAGAATAGTTAATTGCACATTCAAACATAGAATAAGTAAATAAACATGTACATTTCTACTAAAACGACAATTATCCGTGCCTTAGAGTACATTTTATTTGTCTCCAAGCGTTTGTTCAAAGGTAAAACATTTCCACTAAGAAGGATATCATTTAGGTACTTATCAAGTGGACAATTGACAAGTTCCATTAAACTCAAACCATTATTTCCCAAAATGTGGTAATTAATGTGAAGCATATTAATAGAATTAAGAAGTGCTTAACTGTTAAAATAGAGCCATCATCTGATCACTTTAATAAAATTAAAAGTCAATTTGATAGTAATTCTCGACCTTTGTTAAGGAGCCGAGAGATGAATATCGATAATTTTCCAATAATCGAATTTATCAATACTAATTTGGCTTTTTTGATTAGGCATGATGCGCACTGCAATGCTAAAAAATATGCGCTCTGAGATGACAATTGCATTGCTCTCTCCAACCAATTGAAAGCACTACCGAGTATATAAGCACGCCTGCACTGCATCTACCCAAAACACGTTTTTAGAGTGCAGAAGATGCTAACGTAGGTTGATTATTGTTGTGTTTTGCCACAAGAATTACCTTGAAGCTGCACTAATGAAAATTTATTCTCTTTTAGATCCTGGCGTGTAAGTAGATTCATAAAGAGACACGACTTGGATTCGAATAAAAAGTTGGATGCAAATGAACTCTACCTTGCCTTCATAAACTATAACCTATCACGAGCCGACATAGAAGAATTCATCAGGAAATACGATCTAAATAACGATAACCAATTGGACAAAAATGAACTTAAAATTGTGTTTAAACAATTTAGAATGTAGAAACGGGGCTCCAAGCTCACCTATGTACATTTTCCATGTTACTATTTTATATATAAATCAATACGCATGTAAATGTGACTGCTTTTTCTCTTGGTTTTAGAATTTGTCCTGGAATGGTTTGAAACTTAAATATATTCCCCCCCCCCCCCCACGAATTCGTAGTTAAAGAAAAAGATTGCAAAAAAATATACATTACAAAATATAACTTGGATAATTATTTATAAATCATAAACTTAATTATTCTTGAATAAAAGCGCTGTGAAAGAGGGCAATTAATAGTTCGGAAACCTGAATTATCCTCTTACTAAATTATTCTGATCCTAACCACACAGTAAATTAGGACAAAACTGTGATTGGTGCTTGGAAGTCATTTGGAGAATTGTGAGGAAGTTTGTTTGTCTGTTTGTTTGTTTGTTTATACTTGTATATTTTGATACCCGGGGTGTGCGATAGACTTACCTCCACGTGGTACACCCTGAGCAACGCATTCTCATACGGCAAGAAAGTCTATAAACTGGCAGTTAACTTCTGACTTTAATCTGCCATGACCCCACTGTATGTCATATTCGACTACTTCACAGTACTCATCTTACCTTTTCTCTGCCTCTGTGTCTGTTTGTCTCTTTTACATCTGTGAATCAATCTTCTGTTCCTCCCTCTCTACTTTTTGTGACTTGAATGTTCCTCCCCTCAGCTAAGGGCTAATGATAAGTATCATAAAGACCGCCATTTGAAATAAATAAACATTTTGATACCCTTCCTCAACTGAAAGAGGAATTCGTAGATTTGGAAGCTCAATTGGTTTAGTTATTTCCCTTGGCATGCAATGCCTTCTTCGGATTAAATTTTTTATATCGCACCTCCCCCCTTCTCAAGTGTAATTCTCTTATTTTATCTTCCCCTCACAAGAAGGTACGAAAATTGTTTAACCAACTTAGAAGTAGAACTCAGTTGAGGTTTGTTTTGACTCGCAGCCAATTTCTACCATTCAACTCGATCGATAGCACCACCTACTTAGCCTTCTTCCCTGCACGCTCTTTCGATAAGAGAAGATTCCGCAAAAATTCGTAGCCAATAAACCACTCACTGCTCATCTTTAATTCAAAATTAAAATTTGTGCAAAGTAACAACTGCTGTTGCTGCAAAACTGCTTTAACCAATAGGAGGGGGGCTATCCAATTAACCACTCATTCAATTCAAACGGCCTTAAAATAACCTCAGGCCTAATTTGTTTATATAATCTTGCACCAGTGTATACTAAACTAACAGGTGAACTTGGGTGGAAAATGTTGAGGTATGTTCTCGGTTTTTTTCAAACTTTTTGTGAATTACACTCTAGATCCATAAAAGTACATCGATTTATCAAGAAGGTGGATCGTGACAAATCCAAGACAGTTGATGTCAATGAATTGTTGATTGCTCTCGAAGGCACAGGCATTACACGAGAAGCCTTGACAGATTTCATCTCTCTCTACGATATCAATGGCGACGGAGAGTTAGACAAAAGGGAGTTGAAACTATTTTTTAAGGAACAGCGATTGTAAATTTTAATAATAAAACTAGCATTAAATTGCCTTTGGAGTTCATATATCTTTGTTGAATTAGTAGTCTGCTTTATTTGAAAGCATAAACCCCATAGCGCAATTTTAGAGGAATAATTTAGTGAGCAAATATGACATTTGAATAGTTTTCTGTTATGTCGGAATAAACTTTGTTCACCCAGTTGTATTGAAAGTATTCTGCACCACACGCGATTATTTATCGCCCTTCATTTTAAATGTTGGTTCTATAAAGTGTGCACATTTTCATTTATTGGCCAAAGGAAAGCGGTGAAGTGCAGCGATCGTGCATGAACTTAGTTCAAATGTGCTTGACAAGGTTTCTCAATATGGGGTGTGAGATAGACTTACCTCCACCTGGTGAACCCTGGGCAACGTATGCTCATACGGCAAAAAGTCTATAAACTGGCAGCTGACTTCTGACTTCAAACTACCATCACCTCAATGTATGTCATATTCGACTTCTTCCACAGTACTCACCTCACCTTTTTTCTACCTTTGTGGTCTTTGAACCTCTCTTCTGTTACTCCCTCTCGAATTTTTCTCACTTTGATGTTCCTCCTCTCCGTGAAGCCTGAAGTCAACTAAAGGGCTAATGAAAATTATCTAAAAGCCTGCCATTAGATATGAATAAATAAAATTTCTCAATATTCGCTCAGTGGCTATCGATAAGTAAGTATTTAACTCCAAATCTCACCCTCCGGAGACCAGTTGAAAATGTCCACATTCTGTTTGACTTCTAAGTGCTCATTTGAGTTTTATCCGATAAAAATCCACCTTGTAACTTTTAAGTGGTTTTCTAAGACGTTTCAAGGAAAGATTACTTGCTTTCTGGGCTAAGTTTCAAGAGTTCCGTTAATTTCTATCTGTGGGAGATATAAATCAACCAAGGCTTTGTGCCTTTTGGATCGTTTCCATTTTAGCTGATTTGGTATGAATGTGATTTCGATATTGTATCCAAGTTTGGCACGTCACCATACTGACGTCTCGCGTCACCTTCTGCCCATGTAATCATTAATAAAAAATCACGCATTGAAAATATTGCAACAGTTGAAAGAACCCTTTTTTCATATAAAGATGAACTTGAAAATAGTTTAGTTCCTGTGAATCGTGCTGAGCTTTCGTCCCATGAGTTTTGGTAGGACTGTGGTTGTTTAGCGATTTCTGGAACACACCGAAATAACTATCCCTTCGTTCCCCTTCATATAATGAAATGTTAATTTATGTCAAATGATTGGCTTTAAGATTATATTATTATTTTCAATAGGCCTTTAGTTGACTTCGGGCTTCATTGGGAAGGGGAGGGGGGCGGAACATCAAAGTCACAAAAAAAGTCGAGATGGGGGGGGGACAGAAGAGTGATTCGCGGGTGTAAAAGACAGACATCAAGGTAGAGAAAAAAATTAAGGCGCGTCCTGTGGAAGTTGTCGAATATGGCCGGTTAATAGACTTTTTACCGTATGAGGATACGTTGCCCAGGATGCACTACGTGGAGGTAAGGCTATCGCACATTTCATATGATGAAATGTAATGTGCCAGCTATTACTAAAGACAAAGAGAATGGGAAGTCATTATTAGTCACAAGTTGAAAATGTATGTCTAAGCCTGTCAATAAAAATGATAATTTTGTTACACTTTAACGGGATAACCTGGGGCTTCTTAAAGTGCACCTGTACTATAATAAAATTTAAAAGACTATTAACAGGTCCAGGAAGATACGCGTGTGTACCGCACCATGGAATCATAATTTTACTCTAAGGAATCAGGTTTTTGGTGCCTACAAGTCTAGCCGTCTGATGGACTTCGAAACATTATTTTTGAACAACTGCTTCGAAATACTTGTCCATTTCAGACGCAAACGTTTTTTATACCACTTATTTAATGCAATTAAAACTCCGTTTATTGTACTAGGTATGTCGTCTTTAAAGCTAATGAAAGAGATAAACTAATGGACGTTAGATATGGGAGGGGAGGGGGGCGAGTTTCCACTTAAAACTACATGCACAGTTTCAGAGCAAACCGAGTCCATCTATAATGCCCTGACGACTAAAAACTTTGAGTAATGTTCATACTCGAAAGTTCCCCGCATTCTGCTGCGGCAGTAACCACTCATTTTCTCAGTCAATTTGACAAGAGTGCCAACCCACCCCCCACCCTCCCGGAACTCATATTTGTGCTTATTGAAACACTTTTCATTGAGTGAATGAATTAAGGAAGAGATTAAAGACCCCTTCAAGAGCTGCACAAAAGAGCCAGAATTTTTAATAGAATGAAATGAAGCAGCCTAGAGCATATTTGTAGTGGGAGAATCAATAATCGTGACAACTTCAAGGAGCTTTTATTCCTACAGATTGTTGAAGGGGTTGGGAATCATTCGGCCATGTAGTGAAAAATGTCCGGTTGACTAACTTCAAGCCATTGCCATATCGGCAACCACACAGAAATAAACAGTAAAATAGAAATATAACAGTCCTTTGTATTAAAATATTGAGTTGCCAATTACAAAAAGTTTGGTTTCCAGGCCCTGTTTGTGGTTTAAATGTAATATATATATATATCAGGTTATTAAAGTCGTGAAGGCCACAAAGCTCACATGGATGAACCAGAGAATCCCATTTGCGATAGAACATGTGGGAACAAGGGGCGTGCTGATCATCTCACATCCATCAAGTGAGGCCGTGCTGCTGATCACGTGATCGCAAGTGCAGAGACGTCTCAGCCAATCAACAATCAATAGTCACGTCATCGTCATAGTAGCCAAAGTTGTTATCCAGACTGCACTTCGTCAAGTAAGCACAGCCCCAAATAGATGGGTTCCACTACGTGTGTCTACTTTCCTCTATTATAGTTGAAGTAACTTAGCTTATTTCAGTATACTTTGCCATGAAGATACATATAGTTTGATCAAGACTTGTTAGTGTACAATTTCATGCAATTTGGTTATTTTCTGGAAAGGTAGTTTTAATATCGCTAAAATGAGCTATTGGTACGTCGGCTTTGCGTGTTGATACGAGAAAGTAATGAAAATTTTAGAAAATTGGCCAAAAAATTTGATTTATCAACAAAGGGGTAGGATTTGGAATAATTTTTTTATAATATTAAATTTCTTGTCCTTTTCATGTCTACCAGCCCAGCCATAACAGATCAATGGCGCTTTTTCAATCCGCTTTTTCAATGAATGAGTTCAGTTAATTTTAGGTCACATTTCCAACACTTATTAAATATTTTTGAGCAAAAACACTCCAATACGTACTCAATCATCCATTTAAGTAGCTCATTGACTGATGGAAATGCGTTTAAGCCGGCTCAATCGCAATCCTCTTCAAGTTAATGAGCCTCCCAATTCGAATTTTTTGACAGTTCAATGTGGAAGTTATTTTTATGTTATAGAGCAAATCTGGTTTTTCAATCTGTAAGGAAATTGTTGAAGAGATAACCAGATCAATAACCAGGTGACGAATTGAAGAGAGCAAAATAAAAAATACAACTATATTGGCCCTCAATTTATGTGATGGTTCATAGTATTTATTTGGTTCAAATGGCAGGTGCTTTGAAAGTTATCATTAGCAATTTCGCAGACTTCGAGTTTCATAGAGAGGAGGAACATCAATGTGACGCGAAATCGAGAGTGGGACAGAATAATGATTCACAGATGCGAAAGAGTCAGACAGACACAAAGTCAGAGAAAACTGTAAGAGGGGTACTGTGGAAGTGGTGGAATATGACATACAGTAAGGTGATGGTAGTTTGAAGTCATTAGTCAATATCGGTTAATAGATTTTTGCCGTATGAATATACGTTGCCCAGGGTGCACCAAGTAGAGGTAAGTCTATCGCACACCCCTCAATGCGATTATTAACCATAACAGATCAATTAATAACAAAATATCAAACTTTTCAAAAAAAGAACGATTTTCTAGACTGAAATCCATTTTTGAACAGGCGAATTAGATCTTTGCACCCTTTTCCTATTTTGTGGTATAAAATTGTGTCATGTAGATTAGCAAAACTAATTCTTTGGCATTTTTGATTGAGAGGTAGCATTAGAAAATGGTTAGCATTAGGGATTGAAGGAAATAAGGGTTCGAAGAGTACAGAAATCCAGGGATTATGAGGTATTTGCATTGCCAGCGCTTCCGTTCACGCATTTGCCACTCTTTAATGCTTCCCACAATCATAGCAATATGCACGAGAAGAGACAAAGAGACAAATCGATATTAGCCTGAAAGTGGCATAGTTAAATTCTTTCGCAAAATTGGCGTACAATTTGTGCTTAAAAATGGAATGTGGATGCAAAGACGTATCGAAATCCGAATGTATGTAAAACTAAGTTACTTTATTTTCAGACATTTCGCAACGCTATTTGGTCATATTGATTTTTCGTACACATAGAAAAGAGCTCGATTTAATACTGACTATCATCTGATTTACTGGTCTTCTAAGCAAAATTAATCGATTTTATCGAGTTATCGGAAAACTAGAGCTCAGCAAGTGCACCCTACATGACATTACTAGCTCCACATCTGAAGTACTAAGTAATTAAATGCGATTTAAGATTGAACTTCAACTTCTTCAAAGTCTTATTCTCGAGGTATTAAACAATGACACGTTGACTCAAACAGCTTCCTGGTGGACGTAGAGAGATGCCAGTAAATAGATGAGACATTAGCCACTGTTAAATTAAATTAATCGGTTGTTGAGTTCCCTCGAAAACTTAGCAATTCTTTCAGTCTAAATTCCCTCGTATCCCATCATTCCCCAAAGTACTCATGCAACCTCAACGATAATAAGGAAGCAAAGGTGTTTACCCAAACACAAGTGTGATTGCTATCGAACGCATTTGTTCCATGCATCATCACAACTAGAGGCTCTACAAAGTCCAACCCACGGTAAAAACAGTCCGATGGGAGCACAAACTTCACTTAAAATCTCCACTTGGAACCGAAGGGAAATCCATCTTACATGAAATGCAATTGCTTACTTTGCATTATCTCCAAAATTCAATGCACCAAAGGTTCTTCCCACATGTTAGACAGAACAGAAAAATAGTTATTCCAAAGAGGATTTATGTAAGCGTAAAAGTTTACAGGTCTTCTGACAAGAAATTAAATGCGCTTCAATCTTCCTAACTCCCGCGAACAAACAGGACAATAGTGTACAGTGTCCTTGTAGGACTTCAAACAGAATGGTATGAAGCAGCAGAATATGCCACACCTAAAGTATACTTTGAATAGTGAAACTCAAACCTACCCTATAATACTCAGCACACAGCTCGCGAGGAAGGTAAAAGCTCCATCCTTCCGTAATATAGCCGTATCAACGTCACTTTGACAGGACGTACAAAAAGCTCTTGTGCTCGTTTCACCAAAATGAGGACTCGAAGTGCCTACTTGTCTTGGCGTTGAACTATGTGCAATGCTGTATTAGCAAATTGTTAAATAAGAACAATGAATCAAAATTGTTAAAGTTTAATTCAAGCCTACACTACTGCTCCAGTATCGACGCCCATGACAATACCACAACGCCACAACAACCGAAAATGACGGATATGACGTAGCGGCTGTTATGTCTTCTAACTAACCAATAGGAAACGCAACAACACCTGGGGAAAACTTAATTGGNATGCGCTTCAATCTTCCTAACTCCCGCGAACATACAGGACAATAGTGTACAGTGTCCTTGTAGGACTTCAAACAGAATGGTATGAAGCAGCAGAATATACCACAACTAAAGTATACTTCGAAGGGCAAATCTCGAACCTACCCGATAGCACACAGGACACAGCTCGCGAGGTAGGTAAAAGCCCCATCCATCCGCAATATGGACGTATCAACGTCACTTTGAAATTGGCGAATATGACGTAGGGGTGGTTACGTCTTCTAACTTTGCCCAATTCACCAACCAATTGGGAACGACACAACACATGAGCAAAAATAATTGGTTCTTCTAGATTTATTTATTTATTTATAACAAATGCCAGGCATTTTGATAGTTTCATTAGCCCTTTAGGTGACTTCAGGCCTCACAGAAAAGAAGAAATATTAGATCAAATGGCAGGCGTTTTGATTGTTATCATTAGCCCTTTAGTTGACTTCAGTCTTCACAGAGAAGAAGGAGCATCAAAGTGAAAAAAATTCAAGAGGGGGGCAGAAGAGTGTATCAAAGACGAAGGTAGATTAGGTGAAAAAAAGGTGGGATGAGTACTGTGAAGGCAGTCGAATATGACATACAGTGGGGTCATGGAAGTTTGAAGTCAGAAGTCAACTGCCGAATAATAGACTTTTTTGCCGTATGAGTATACGTTGCCCAGGGTGCACCACGTATAGGTAAGTCTATCGCACACCCCGGTTCTTCTAGATTAGTGTAAACAAATTATGGGCGCTATTTCCTAATGACCAGACCTTAATAAATGTTCGGTCGTGTTAATTTTTTCCTTTTATTCACTCAGGGTGAGCTAACTGTGAGGTAGCAGTAGAAGAGCTTGTTTCTAATGTTAACTTGCTTGCCCTTTACCCTTGTCAACATAGTTTATATGATGATCATCAATCAACGCGATTATTAATTTTGATTACTTACCATGGGTTTCTGATTAATCAATAACATCGAGTTGAGCTTCAGTGGGACTTGTTCAAGAAAGAACGGTTTCCCTGTCTAAAATTCATTTTGAATAAGTAGATTTGGTGGGGTAAATATCTTGTAGTGCAGGTCGTATCACCTCCGTTTTTTCTCATTCTGGGGAGGAAGAAAGGATGATTAATTGAAATTTATGTTCGAGAGGTGTGCGATAGACTTACCTCCACGTGGTGCAACCTGGACAACGTATACTCATACGGTAATAAATCTATAAACCGGTAGTTGACTTGTGACTTCTAACTATCATGACCCGACTCAACGTCATATTCGAGCACCTCCAGGGTACTCAACTTACCTTTTTCTCTGCCTTTGTGTCTGCCTGTCCCTTTTGCATCTGTGAATCACTCTTCTGTTCTCCCTCTCGAATTTTTCTCACTTTGGTGCTCCTCCCCTCTATTAAGCCCGAAGTCAGCTATGGGGCTGGTGATAGCTATCAAAACGCCTGTCATTTGAAATAAATTAAAAAAATGTTTGCAAATGTGTTTTAACTCGTCTTAACTCTCCAATTGAGCAAATGGTGTTATTTATTGACATCAATATCCTTCGAAAAGTGGCTCTACTATCAGCACTACCGCCTCTTTATTTGTTTATTTATTATATTATATTATATATTTCTAATAGGAGATAAGATTACAATTACAATGTGCTTTTTCAAGTCATGGAATGTACTGTTTGATGCTATTCATAGGTCCTTCCACCTATCTACGCAAAATATAGGTAGATGAACTAATTTTGTTTTGGTGACTCTTTTTTTCTATTTTGAGTAAAAAATTTTTCCGATGTTTTTTTTTCTTAAAGTGGATTGTAAATAGTACGGATAGCGGTATTCAAAGTTTACAAATGCACCTTCAAGTTGCTCTGTCGGTTGCCATGTGAGTGGTGACATTGATGCCTTGTTGATTAATGGTTTTCGGCTAAGTGCATTAGTCAGAACGAAAATACTAATTAATATGAGAAAAAGAATTGGTTCTATTTCATTCATATTGGCATTATCACTCCGTTAAGGTTGTTTTTGTTTAAGTGAAAAAAGTGGTCTCACACCCGTCTCCAACCCTGAAAACTGGGACATGTGATTGGTTGGTGACCTTTTGTCTGATATATGCTTTTGAATCCGTAGAAATACTGGAGAAAATAATAAAATCTCATTAGAAAATCTTTCAAACGAAATGGATATCAAATGTGCCAGTGTCATAACTGAGCGCTTATGAGATAAACGGTTATGCGAAGTGAATCAAAAGAAAATTTTGTGAAAATACCCCTGAAACCCACCCTCCCCCCCCCCTCCCATTGCCTTCCTGGCTCTTCGGTGAAATTCTTTTAGCCCGATTTCATTACTCCAAGTCACATATTTACAATTTTTGCGGTGAACTAGGTGGTGATTAGAGCCAGAGTTCAGGATAGAAAACATGACTCGTGAAGTGTCTACTTCAACAACAATGATGTTAGTGGTGCGAACGTGAAAATGTGGGGACAGATTGTAAAATTGTGAAGTGAGGCACTTCTCACGATGGAAAGTTAAAAACTCAAGGTCAAACCTCGTATCCTCTATAGGCGAGTAAATATAAGAGACGTTAAGAGAACAGTTGGAGAGAGGTATACCTTTGATGATCGCAATTCCCTCCCCCCCCCCCCCCCCCCTAGAACGACCGACATGAAACTGCGTACATATTCTTTCTAGTCTTGCCATTGTCCACACTGGTCTCATATGGTTCAACTTCCTATTGATCTGCTCTATGTGTGACATATGTGCTTCATTTAGCCTAACTTAGTTGCTATACTGCACCTGATGTGCATAATGTCTCCCATAAACTAGGATAATAGATGAGACTTAACCATTTTTCACATGAATGTGAGAGTGCGGTGATGCATTGTATAGTCTTATGAAATTGGTATTGCATGGTAATTTTCTATTTGAAAAGCAAATAATTTATCGAGAAATCGATGCGTATATATTCGGCATTCATTTGGAGATTTATACCCCTGGGAGACTGTAATAGAATAGGAGACGAGGAATTGCGCTTGATGGCTCCTACCATATGGGTTACTGAGAATGAGTCAAGGCTTGTTAGCGTAACATTTCACGCCATTCTCCAAAACATATGCAATTAACTTTATGTTTAAACTGATTTTTATCTCACCACTACTACCAGAAGTGTAGTGCTTAATCATCATAACGAGGGAAAACGTGAAAATTGAAATCAATCTTTACGCATTACTGAGTTGTCTCATCCAACTTGTTAAAAGCAAACGGAAAGGCAACTACTTTTGCTTAAAATTGACCTGATATTCCAACTTACTACGTTAGTTTCACATCTCACGGTAACTCGACAAAGAAATCATTTACTTCTCACATTATCTACATTATTCCATTTAAATGGAACGCTTGCAGGAAGTCAGTCTCCAGAACTCAACATTAGTGTAACATTGAAAATCAATTTTGAACTGGTGACATCAATTATGGCAAAATAATCAGATTTGACATGTTGCAAATAGCCTCCGAATCAAATTCAATTCCCATTCTGCGACATGTTAATCCGATTACAAAGAAATAATACCTGCAACTCTACATTAATAACTCTAACACCAAAAGGCGCGCCTAAGAGTGTAAGAGTTTTAAATAATATAGCCGGTTATCGACTAAATCAGATTTCGCATTGTGGAGCCTAAAACGGACCAAGGCTGAACAAAGAGATCCCGTACGTAAACAAGGAGATAAAAAAGTGCGTATCCCCCCCACACATATAGTGGGAGAGGACGCGAGGTTGTGGGTGCAGATCTGAGCCCACTTACACTAATCTAGAGGAACCAATTATTTTTGTTCAGGTGTTGCTTCGTTTCCAATTGGCTGGTAAAGTGGGCAAAGTTAGAAGATGTTGCAACCGCTACGTCATACTCGTCATTTTCGGTTGTGGTGGCGTTGTGGTATTGTGATGGGCGTCGATACTGGAGCAGTAGTGTGGGCTTGAATTAAACTTTAGCAATTTTGATTTATTGTTCTTTTTTAATTGTATGCTAATATTTCAGCAAACAACTTGCAACACCAAGACAAGAAGGCACTTCGTGTCCTTATTTTGGTGAAACGAGCGCAAGAGCGTTTTGTACGACCTGTCAAAGTGACGTTGATACGGCTATATTACGGAAGGATGGAGCTTTTACCTTCCTCGCGAGCTATGTCCTGTGTGCTATCGGGTAGGTTCGAGATTTGCCCTTCGAAGTATACTTTAGTTGTGGTATATTCTGCTGCTTCATACCATTCTGTTTGAAGTCCTACAAGGACACTGTACACTATTGTCCTGTTTGTTCGCGGGAGTTAGGAAGATTGAAGCGCATTTAATTTCTTGTCAGAAGACCTGTAAACTTTAACGCTTACATAAATCCTCTTTGGAATAACTATTTTTCTGTTCTGTCAACTCGATGTTATTGATTAATCAGAAACCCATGGTAAGTAATCAAAATTAATAATCGCGTTGATTGATGATCATCATATAAACTATGTTGACAAGGGTAAAGGGCAAGCAAGTTAACATTAGAAACAAGCTCTTCTACTGCTACCTCACAGTTAGCTCACCCTGAGTGAATAAAAGGAAAAAATTAACACGACCGAACATTTATTAAGGTCTGGTCATTAGGAAATAGCGCCCATAATTTGTTTACACTAATCTAGAAGAACCGGGGTGTGCGATAGACTTACCTATACGTGGTGCACCCTGGGCAACGTATACTCATACGGCAAAAAAGTCTATTATTCGGCAGTTGACTTCTGACTTCAAACTTCCATGACCCCACTGTATGTCATATTCGACTGCCTTCACAGTACTCATCCCACCTTTTTTTCACCTAATCTACCTTCGTCTTTGATACACTCTTCTGCCCCCCTCTTGAATTTTTTTCACTTTGATGCTCCTTCTTCTCTGTGAAGACTGAAGTCAACTAAAGGGCTAATGATAACAATCAAAACGCCTGCCATTTGATCTAATATTTCTTCTTTTCTGTGAGGCCTGAAGTCACCTAAAGGGCTAATGAAACTATCAAAATGCCTGGCATTTGTTATAAATAAATAAATAAATCTAGAAGAACCAATTATTTTTGCTCATGTGTTGTGTCGTTCCCAATTGGTTGGTGAATTGGGCAAAGTTAGAAGACGTAACCACCCCTACGTCATATTCGCCAATTTCAAAGTGACGTTGATACGTCCATATTGCGGATGGATGGGGCTTTTACCTACCTCGCGAGCTGTGTCCTGTGTGCTATCGGGTAGGTTCGAGATTTGCCCTTCGAAGTATACTTTAGTT